ATTGCATAAATGGAAAAAGAGTGAGCAGCAATAATATGGCAAAACCAGGGAACCACAGAAAGTGCTTTGAATTATAACACACAACTGTCATGCTTCTGTCATTCCTGGGTAAGATAACAGACAAAACAACTCCTTCACATAAAGCAACTGTACATTTTGGACATAATCAAAAGGCAGCTACCTGAAGGCACTAGAGAGTAAAGACAAGCAAACTGATTTTGGTGGGAAGGACATGATTGAAAAATGGAGATACAAAAAAAGTAAGTTTCTGTTTTCATGGTTTTTAGCCCAAGGCCAAGCTTAGCCTGGCACATGGATTAGCAGGGACTTGTGGGAAACGTGATTTTCCTGACCTGAGAATCAGAAAATTGAACCTAGCTAGGGTAACTGTGGTCACTGAGGAGAGTGGGAATCTCCGAGCGAGCCAGATGGGGATCCCTACATTCTGTCTACCTACAGCTCTGGCTGATGCCTGGCAGACACATGTAGCAAACATCCCAACATCTTAGCTAAGTGGCATAAGTCGGAGGAAAGAACAAGAACCACATGATTTCATTCGTATGTAGAATATAAAACAAAAAACAACAAATGAACCCACAGACAATGAAACTCGTAGATACAGACAACAGAATGGTGGTGACCAGAGGGAAAGAGAAGGGGGAAAAATGAAGAGGTAAAGGAAGTCAAACACGATGATGGAAGAAGACTAGACTTCGGGTGGCGAACACACAGTAGAGTATACAGATGTCGTGTTATAAAATTGTATATACCCAAAATTTATCTAATGTTATCCCAATAAATTTAATTGTAAAATCTTAGGTAAAACAGTAGATCTGAATTAAGAGTTACTACCCAAGAAATAGAATTGACTAAAACCAAAGAGAAAATAACAGAATCTGTAATCTTCGCAATTTAATATTCATAATGTCCAGAACACAATCCAAAATTATCCGACATACAAAAAGCCAAGAAAATGGGGCATAGTCTCAAGAAAAAAGAAACTCATTTGAGACTAACTCTGAGTTGATGAACATGAGCTAGGAAATAAGGATTTTAAAGCAGTTCTTATAACTACCCTCAACAAAGTAAAGGCAAATATGCTACTCATGAAAGAAACATGAGAAACCTCAACAGAGAATTAAGAACAATAAAAACACCAAATAAAAAGTCTAGAATTGACAGAAATATAATACTTGAAATAAAATATTGCTAGATGAATTTAACCAAAATGAAAGTTACTGAGAAAACAGTAGTGACATTGAAGATAGATCATTACAATTATCCAATAATAAAAACTGAGGAATAAGAGATTGAAAAAAAAAAGAATACAGACTCAGGGAATTGTTAGATAATATCCAATGGTGTAACGTAGCGTAATTGCAGAAAGAGAGGAGAAAGATCATTGAGCAGAAAAAAATATATGTGAAAAAATAACAGCCAAATATTTCCTCCTGTGCCACATTCAATATTTCTAAATTTCTAAAAACGGAGATTCTGAGTAATTTAGTACCTTATCATACAAATGGCAGAGCAACAATTTGAGTATGAGCCTATTTTAAATCTGAGGTCTGTTTTCTTAATTACCCCACTATTCTACCTTAATAATAGGTGCTTATTAAATAAATAAGCTCTAAAATGCAAAACAAAATAATCAATGGTCCTTTCAGTGCAATGAGTTAAGTTTTGACTACACAAAATCACCTAGATAAAGCTTGTATGATGAAATGGAACTGAAATTAAATCAAAGTGCTGTGATAGGTTTATTTTATTTTATTTTGTTCCTGTAGCCTAGATCTAATCTGTCAATACAGTAGCAACCAGCCACGTATAACTATTTTAACTTAAATTAAATTTAAAAATCTGTTTCTCATTCACACTAACCACATTTCAAGTGTTCAGTAACCACATGTGGCTTTTGGCTTTCATATTGAATAGCACAGATTATAGGACATTTTTTTCATCATCGAAAGTCTTATTGGCTAACTCTGGACTATTTGTGATTCAAATTAACTGTCTCTTTTTTCAAGAACGTTGAATCACAAGGGCATGACATCTTGTTTACTCTGCTCTAAAACTTCAAACATTGTCTAAAAAGGATTATAGGAAATCATTGAGATTTTTAAGCAAATGTTTTTTTGCTTAAAATATGGATCTGACACTTGGCAAATATTGTCTTTGGCATCCTTTTCTTGGGATACACTGTTTTTTGGTGTGTGTGTGTGTGTGTGTGTGTGTGTGTGTGTGTTTATTCTGGCCTCTGACTGATCTATGATCAAGGGTACCCAACAGACACCTGACTTTTCTGAACTTTCTGTTGTACAATGAACAGCTTCATCTTCTCATTCACTCAGTACAATGCTCTATGCTAGGCAAGAATGGATTATCTATGGGTATCATGTAATAACAGATGTGGAAAATACTCTGCTACATTGCTCCTTACAGTTGAAATACACTTTTCAGATTGCTCTTAAAGAAGGCACCTGTCTGAGAATTTCCAGCATCATGGGAAGTCAATAAGGACTTAAAGGAGCTTTTTATCGCATCTTGTCAAGGAGGGCAGGTTTCCGATATAAAAATATATTCCAGTTTGTTCCTTTGCCTTTCCAGTCCCATTGCTTGAATGAAACTTTTGTTGTTGTTGTTGTTGTTTTGTCTTTTTTTTTTGAGAAGCCTTAGTTCCTTTTACTGGTGAAAGGTTTTAGACACCAAAATGTGGGTCTCAGGAGTGCTCATTACTCCCCCCGTGTCTTTGCTTCTAGGGAAGGGAAAGTTAAGACGCTATAGAATTGAAGGCTGTTTTAGGGCCGAGTACAAAGAGCAGAGGGAGCGCCCCCTCCCGCGCAGCAGCAGCAGCAGCAGCAGCAGCAGCAGCAGCAGCAGCAGCAGCAGCACTCGGGCACCAGTGCAGTGAGGAGAGCTAAAGCTGGGGAGGCAGCATCGTTCACACAGACCTGAGCTCTCACAGGGCTCCGTTATGGCAGTGCTGAAATCCCCTGGCCAGATAGAGTGAAACAAGAGATGTGGTGGAATTTATTAGGACAGCTGGGGCAGGAGGATGCTGGGGGCGGGGGGAGCATGTCACATGGTGATTTTATTGGGCAGACTGACTTGTGAGCACATAGATGCACCCATCTGAGTTCTCCCAGGAGTAACTGGGAAATACTCCGGGTGGAAGAGACTTAGATTTATACAGTCAAACCAGTGAGACCTTAGGTATAAACTGGGTATAAACTGGGAAATAAAAGTAAAAATGGATTAATACAAAATTCACAGACTGGGAAAGCCTGAAAATATCACGTGTGTGTATACACATATCACACATACACAAACATTTAAAATCCACAGACTAGTGAAGTCTAGAGGGTATAAGTATATCAGTAAATGATGCACATATGCTTGTGTATGCACATAGCTTTTCCTAGGATCCTACACTTTCAACAGAGGCCAGACCTATGGTATGAGATAAATGGCAATAAAAATAGTCCAGGCTCTAGCTCAAAGATTGAAATTTAAATGCAAGGTTAAATAAAATAAGACTTAATTATTTAATATCATTTGGGTTCTATTTGAAACTTGGATGACTTAGCATAAATCCATTCCTTCCGGAGACATGACCATTCTACACCCACCCCTCCAGACCATGCCAGATGTTGCCTACTCCTCTGTGAAAGGTTTCCAACTGCACTGTTGGCTATTTTAAGGATGGGAAGGTGAGGGGCTAGGGGAGTTACTTTATTTTTTTTTATTATTATTTTATTTTTGTTACAGATGTTTCTCCTTTTTTACCCCATTGGCACCCTCCTCCCCATTCCCCCCGCCCCTTCCCGGCTTTGTTATCCATGTCCATTGGTTATGCGTACATGCATATAAGTTCTGTGGTTTATCTCTTCCCACCCCCTAGGCGAGTTACTTTATATTTAATTAATCTTATTGATTTTAGACATCTAAAAATGTCTATTAGGGTGCAAAATACTTACACATTGATTATATTAGTATCAATTTAATAAGGTTAGTTCTCCAAATCATCTCAAGCTGTCTAAACCCTGAATGGATATAAAAGCAAAAACAAAAACACAGACTCTGAAAATATAAGCAATAAAAGAAATATATTTGGCAAATACGTTTAGCAAGCTACGATAAGTAACTGTTTCCTAAGTCCTCATACTGTATACTCTAGGGATTTTTGAGGTTATAATTTGAAGGGGATGTAATTTATTTCTTCCTTCTTGAAAATGGTGAAGTACAGTTTGTCATTACTCAGGAGAGACAACTTTGTAAATAAAACTCAGCTTTTGGAAGCCTAATTATTTCTCAACTCAGGTGGTTACAGGTGAAATTTCAAAGGGTAAAGTGACACAATACAGGGATTTTCTAATGGTTAGCCAATTACATTCTATAATATATATAATTATAGCATATATCATTGAACTAAGTATATTGCCAGCCATTTATTTATCCCACATTTGACTGCAATTTTAATGGTTTTCTGCAACAAGATTCCACTTTAAAAATACTAAAAACTTGGGAATAAGTACATTTTTGAAAGACTAAGAGGCTATAATTAATATGCCAAAAAAAAAAAAAAAAAAAAGGACAGTTACTTTTTTTTTTTTATCCTCACCCAAGGAGGTTTTTCCATTTTTTGTTCAGATAGAGTGGGAGGGAGGGAGAGGCAGAGAGAGAGAGAGAGAGAAACATCGACGTGAAAGGGACACATCGAGTGGCTGCCTCCCCCACGACCCAACCAGGACCGGGGACAAACTGCAACCGAGGTACATGCCCTTAGCGGGAACCGAACCCGGGTCTCTCCGGACCGCAGGCTGATGCTCTAACCGCTGAGCCCAGGGCTAAGTTTCATTTTTACCTAGATTTTTTTCCCCTCTATCAGAAGCGTTTCAAATGGCCACCTCCTACTTGTTTTAAACTGCTGAAACAGAAATCTGAGGACTTTAAAAGAGGTAAACACGAAGGCAACGGTGAACATTTCTCCCAAGCTGAAGCGGCGGGACTCCGCTCCGAGCACGTGAACAGGGGCTGGGCTGCTGGGCTACGGCTCCTTCCTCGCCAGGACCCGGAGCAATTCTGCGCGCAGGCCTTGGTTTGGGGCTGCGCAGGCGTGTTTGGGAATGTCCTGGTCATCATTTCAAACAGCTGCACACCCCTGCGAACGTGCCGATTTCATCCCTGGCCTGTGCTGGCTTCTTGGTGGGAATGACTGGGATGCCCTTCAGCACAGTGAGGTCTGTGTGCAGCTGCTGGTACTTTAGGGAGAGTTACTGTAAATTTCATACATGTTTCATACTTCCTTCTGTTTTGCTTCTTTATTTCATTTATGTTGCTGTCACTGATCCTATGACCTATCCAACCAAGTTCACCGTCTCAGGTCGGAAATACGCATTGTTCTTTCTTGGTTCTTTTCTGTCACCTACAGTTGTTCCATTTTTTACACTGGGGCCAATGAAGAAGGAATTGAGAAACTAGGAGTTGCTCTCACCTGTGTAGGAGGCTGTCAAGCTCCATTGAATCAAAATTGTATTCTACTTTCTTTTCTTCTATTCTTTATACCCACTGTCGTCATGGTGTATATATACTGTAAGATATTTTTGGTGGCTAAACATCAGGCTAGGAAGATAAAAAGTACAGTCAGCCAAGCTCAGTCCTCCTCAGAGAGTTGCAAGGAAAGAGTAGCAAAGAGGGGAAGAAAAGCTGCTAAAACATTGGGCATTGCTATGGCAGCATTTCTTGTCTCTTGGCTACCATATATTATTGATGCTGTGATTGATGCTTATATGAATTTTATAACTCCTCCTTATGTTTGTGAGATTTTAGTGTATGTTAATTATAATTCAGCTATGAACCCCTTAATATATTCTTTCTTTTTCCCATGATTTCAGAAGGCAATAAAACTTATTGTAAGTGGCAAAGTCTTAAGGAGTGATTCATCAACAGTTAATTTATCTTTTGAGGAAGCAGGTATGGATTAACAAGATTACAGCCGGGACTTCAAAATTAACATAGAATTAAGATCAAGTGCAATATTAAACACTTGACTCTAGAGTAGAAACTGTAATCATTTGCCAAGTAGGAGGATATTGCACTTCACAAAGCCCTTGTCATCTGCTTGCATATTGGCATTTTTTAGAATTAACTGATGGGTGATTAATTTGCTGATTAGTTCCCATTCAGTATTTGTCTATAGTTTTCTAATTTCTATGGTAATTTCTAGTGCCTTCTCAATTTTCTACTTGTTTCTTCAAAAATTTTGAAGATTTGTAGTTTCTCCCACACTCATTACCAATGTTTAGTTTTCTAAAAAATATAGAGGGTTGCTTGGCCAGTGTGCCTCAGTGGATTGAATCTCATGGCCTGAGACGTCCCGGTTTGATTTCTGGTCAGGACATGTGCCTGGCTTTCGGGCACGGTCCCCATTGTGAGAGAGAAACATTGACTGGCTGCCCCCTACACGCCCTTCACCGGGGATCAAGCCCACAACTTGGGCATGTGCCCTGACCGGGAATCGAACCAGGACCTCTCAGTCCGCTGAGCCACACCAGCTGGGCTGCTCTTCGTTTTTGACATATTACAGCCTATTTATTTATTTATTTATTTATTTATTTATTTTTATTACATTTATTGAGGTGATATTCGTTAATGAAATTATGTAAGTTTCAAATGTAAATTTTATGATCAACCTATTTAAATATCAATCTTAAAAGAATGATTGTTCAGCATTACACCATAAACAAGAATGAACTCATAATGGATAAAATACTTTAATGTAAGTCATGAAACCATAACAATCCTAGAAGAAAACATAGGTAATAAATCTCAGACATCTTGTGTAGCAATATTTTTACTGATATATCTCCTAGGGGTAGGGAAACAAAGAAAAAAATAAATAAATGGGACCACATCAAACTAAAAAGCTTCTGCAAAGCAAAAGAAACCATCACCAAAATGAAAAGAGAACCCACTGCATAGAACATATTTGCCAATGATACATCTGACAAGGGGTTAATTTCCAAAATATATGAAAAACTTATACAACTCAACAAAAAGAAGACAAATAATCTAATTAGAATGGGCAAAGGACCCAAATAGACACTTCTCTAAAGAAGACATACAGATGGCCAATAGACATATGAAAAAATGCTCAACACCACTAATCATCAGAGAGATGCAAATTAAAACGACAATGAGCTATCACCTCACACCTGCCAGTACTTATATTTTATATTGGAAGAGTGAGAAGAATATTATGATTGCATAAGATGCACTTCTTTATTCCAGACTTCTGAGTTGGTTTTCACTTTTCCTTCAATATGTTCAGACAGATAAACTGTTAATTTTTTCCAGCTCCAACATTGTTTGATTTTGACAGAATTTGACCTTTGCATATTTTTTTGAGTTTTTTATTTTAATAGATATTTACTATGCTAAAAAGAAAGTAGGAATATACAGGTGATACCTCAGAAATGTACTGTGCGGACTGTAAATGTCAAGTTGCTTTTGAAACCACATGCTTCCTTTTACCTGCAAAGGCTCTGTGCAGTGTTAGAGTCCAGACTGAGCTTCAAACGCCAGGCTGGCTGAGTTTGGATCCCATCTCTGCTGTCTACTAGCTTCCACCTTGGTTAAGTCACTCATCCTTTGTGTGTCTTGGTTTCTCAGCTATAACGCAGAGCTGATAATGTAATATTCTCATCGAATTCAGTCAGCAAATAGTTATTGTTTAGTAGCTCTTATTACTGGTGGCAAAGGACACAGTGCAAACTGCCAGAGATACAAGGAAACTCCTAGGAGAAGAGGTAGAAAGTAGAGACAGGGCAGGTGGGGGACTTCCAAGTGGATTCTGCCTGCCTCATAAATTTAACCAAGGTGAGTCATAACAGGGATGTACGTTTCCTTATCTTTAAAACGGTCTGTACTGCTTAGCTTAGTATTGCCCTTAGAAACTGGTGAAATATTGCCCTTTGGCATTAGACACAGCTGAGTGCTTATCTTTGCAACTGTCATTCGTGTTGTGTGTGAGCTTAAGCGTGAGAACAGAATACGATATAAATGTCAGCTCCTATATAATTTCTGGGAAGATAGTCTATGTCTTTTCATTTCTAAGAAATATTATTGGTTGTTCTGACTGATGTATTGGCTTCCAATTTACAAAGAATTCTGTTGGATCCACCAACATTGGGACTTGGAAGATCCAGGCAGACCCACTTTGTGATGGGCCGTTAAAGACACCTGATCATTTGGCGTCACATGGGTAAATATTTCATCACTGCCTGGGCTCAGCAGCACAAAAAGAGCCATTGTTCAAAAGGTACTCTATCCTCCATTGCAAAGAGCAGGGCCTGGTTCCAGAAACCCGGAGGACTACATTGTATTTCTCCCACTGGAGCCTTCCAGCAAATCTACAGAGCATCTGTTTCCACTAGTAGCACCTCCAGCCACAGGGTCACTGACTGTTGGCAGTTATGCTGCAGTCCAAACTGGCTGCAGAGCCCTGTCCTGCTCCAGGCTGCACGCAAAGCTGGCAGGCTTTTTTTGTTATCTGGTGTACAGACCAGAGCAGTATTCCTAAGCATGGAATATGTTGATGCCATACCTGAAGAGGTCTACCAGGTATTGAGCATCCTTCTTTGCTATACGGGATATAAAAGGTGGTCAATTATCTTTTACTTGGGACAAGACACCCTTGACTAATTTAATGAAATAGAGGGCCCCAGAATCTGCATATTGATTATCTGCAAACTTCTAGGAAACTTGTTTCTGACCAAGGCTAGGAACTAGGTACCTAGCGTGCGAGGTACAGCTTGCTCACCCTGTCTGATCATCAATGTAATCAATCAAAGTGATCTTCCTTAGGGTGCCCAGACGGTCCAGATTTCTTCCTTGAAGAGGAATCTTAGCAGTATCTCTCTGGGTCTACCACAAAGACACAGTGACTAATAAAGGTATCATTTCGAGCATAATAATAAATAATATCAAGGTAGACAACATATATTGGTGAGAACATATATAACTTATTGAAAATATTAGTCCTGATCTGATGGGCCTCACTAATATCATCAATATCTAGATTCATTTTTGCACCGATTCTAGCGCTCTCTTTAGCCCTAACAATATTAATTCTATCCAAGGCTTCTCTCCAAGACAGAATTTCCCAACCAGGGGCATAACAGTGAGCCGTAAATGGGTTAGGAAAGTCAGACCAGGCCCTGGGGTGGCCAGGAGACTCAGGCCCCGAGCAACCTTCTGAGTCTCTTCTGGTGGTTGCCCAGCTGAGCAGGGCCTGACGGGATGCTGACAACGGAGCTTCCAGAACCCCTTTCCCAGGCACACTAATCCCATTTGTGGCACAGCCTCACCCTCTTGGCCTAATCACCTCCTCAACTCCCCACCTCTATATACCTTCATACTGGAGATTAAGTTTCAATATCCAAATTTTGAGGGGACACAATCTTTCAGTCCTTAGCAACATGTTACCACGTATAATGTAGTGAAAAAAATTTGGGAGCATCCAAACATAGGTGTGAGTGAATTATTTCCCAGGAGGAAATGACAGGCTCTGGTTGTACCCGTGTCTTTGTTTCTCCCCAGGCTAGCCACTTCTGAAAGCCGGCAGTCCTGGGTGGAACTGGGCAGCCTCGTGTGTGTGGGCACCCTTCACGCGTGCAGCAAGAGATCGAGCCTCACTGCTGGCTTCAGCGGTGAGCTGAGCACCGCGTCTAGTGTGGGGTGGATCACTTTTAAACCCCTTTACAGGAGTCAAATCCTGAATCCCGCTGCTGTTTCTGGACCTGCAGACTACTAGGTAGGTCCTCATGGCCAGCCCTGCTCACATGGGCTGTTCTTGTTTCTTTTCTTGTGCAGAGAGATGATCTCATATGAACTTTGCTGTGTTTCCTCCCCGCTCCCATGTTTTGCATGCCTGCCTTTTCTGTGTATTTGGAGCGCAGAGGCTGATGAATGACCGAGCAAGATGCGCCTGCATGATTGTATTACAAACTTGGCAATGTAAAGGTAATCTGATCATTGTGGTTCAATATAACTGTATTTCCTTATAATTCTAATGTTTAAAATTTTTTAAAAATCTATTTAAAAGTCTTATTCTGAAACAGGGCGCATGGTCATTACCAAAGTGCCAAAGGAATTCATAGCAGAAAAATTTAAGAACGCTTGCCTTAAATTTAGTTAATTCGCACTCAGAAAGGTAGAGTGAGAAAAGGTTATTATTCCAGAACAGTAAAATATCACCATAGACATTCTATTCATATCTCAGGGCAGTATCATTGAGCATAGGTTTTCATTGGTCCAAGGGCCTAACTAGATTTTTTTGGGTGCAACAATTTTGCTTCTTACATCTTGTTCTCATATCAAAGATCATGAAGGAGCTGGGCATCAAATCCTGGGGTCAGGAGCCTGACCTGTTAAGCATCAGCTCCTGTACCCCTCGGTGGTGTCCCCCGCAGATGTGATTTTTACACTCACCCCACCCTGGTTCACTGGTGACAGGGACAGTGTGCAGTGACATTCATGTTCCAGTGCTCCTGTGATTCACCAGAAGCTGAAGTCTCCTCCCTGCTTTTCCATTTTAGTCCTGCTCACAGGTTTATTAGCTGTCCAGTTTTCTCTAATATCTCAGGGACAGATAAGTCAGGGCATTCGAGTAAAGAGAGGAAATTGCCGAACACCTGTGTGTCGCATCGGTAACATAAAGTTAACAATATCCACTTTGCAGGGCTTGTGGGCAGCAAGCGAGATGCGTAGGTTTTCAGTAAATATTGGTTTCTTCCCTTCCCAGCCTTCCTTTCTCTCTACCCTGGAGCCTCTCGTGGTTAATGCAGCCTCCTCCCTCTAACAGAAAACAACAAGATACGAGGGAAGC